CTCAGCATTTTTCGTCTGCCTTAGTGCTTATGACACCTTTCTTATAGCCCTTCCGTATTGTCAGCGGTTCCCGCTGTCGTGTTAACATTCTGATTAGTCAGGAATTTCTTTTACTTCCTTGTAACCCCAGCTCTCCGGTTCATGTCCTTATTACTATGCAGTTTTAGTTTAGTTTTTTGTGTTTTTTCCATCTTACATCTAATTGTAGTGATTCCAAATTTACCCAAAAACTACTTCTACATGTACGTAACCCTTTGCTGCATAACATGGTGTTTTCCTAGTGTCTTTAAGTGTTTCCTTTTCCTGTGTCCTTATGATATCCATTGTATCTGTTATGGTTCCATATTTATGTCCTGTGTTTAGTATGTGGTTTGAATATCCTGAATTGCTATTATTATTTCTAACTGCTTGTATATGTTCTTTCTATCTGATGTGGAATGCTCTGCCTGTATGTCCTATGTATTTCAGCTGACGGTCTAAATATTTAATTTTCCCAGATATTCAAAAGCACTACAGGAAACAAATATCAGGCAACAGCATGTATGCAGTACATCATGCAGATAAACATAGCCAAATACATGGAAAACACCTAGAACAAAGCAGAGCAGATACAACACCAAAGGAAATGAAAGCAATACATTCAACATACGTAACAGCACAAACACATTAATAGGAAAGCACAAATAGCATATAATACCCACCATATAAAACAGTAATACAACCTCATGCATATGAAGGGGGACCCAAAAATAACCGGAACCGCCCTGTTGCGCGCGCATGCTTTGTAGTTACAAGTTGTGCTGCTAGGTGGTGTTAGCTGGGGGTCTCCCACGACTGTTAGTGAGCTGGCGTCAGTCTGTGTTAAGTGGTTTGTCTGTGGTGCTCTGTTGTGTGCGTTCCTGTTTCAACCCTTTGGCGATTAGTGAGATGGCCGACCAGAAGGAACAAAGAGTGTGCGTGAAATTTTGCTTTCTGTTAGGGAAAACTGCAGCCGAGACTGTTGGGATGCTTCGGCAAGCCTTTAATGATGATGCTTTGGGGAAATCACAGGTCTACGAGTGGTTTTCCCGTTTCAAATCTGGCAACATGTCAACAGAAGACATGCCACGCCCCGGGCGTCCTTCGACAGGAAGAAATGACGAAAACATTGCCAAAATCAAACGTGCAATTGATGAAGATCGTCGAAAGACCATTGACCAACTTTCTGAGGAAACGAACATCTCATGGAGCACGGTCCAGTGAATTTTAACCGAAGGTTTGCACATGAGACGGGTGTCTGCAAAATTTGTTCCTCGCTTGCTCGGAGATGACCAAAGAGAAAACGCGTGAATGTAGCCGCGACTTGAAGAGTGAAGTGCAGAACGATCCAGAACTTTTTTTTGTTTCCACGGATGAAGAGAAGTCTGAAAGGAAAGCGATTCCGTGATGTGGATGAAGTCAAAGAAAACGCGCTAAAGGCTTTGAACAGTATCCAGCCTCAAGAATTCCAGCACTGTTTTGAGCAGTGGCAAAAGCGTTGGGACAAGTGCATTAATGCACATGGACAATACTTTGAAGGGGACTAATATACAGTTCAATAAAAATGCAAAAATAAAAAATAACAAAAATAAATTCCGGTTATTTTTGGGTCCCCCCTCGTATTACTGATAAACCAAACATGTGGTTAGGCATATATCCTGAACAAAACATCTAGAAGCATTTAATATATCAAAAGGAAAGCAGAGCAGACTCCTTAAACACACCTTGAACACCTAATGATGGCTAGTTAGGCTGAATCATGTTGTGAAATAAAGCAGAAAGAAGAAACATCAAAACCTAGGGGATTTTGTTTGAGTTGCACAAGAACAGATAAGTATTAGAACAGTATTCAAGTTTATACACAGTGCAACAGGATCCACTGAGGATGATAGGAATATGTAATATTAACAAGAAGTTCTGGAAAGAACTAATCCCCTACTTCCCTTTCACAACAATCTGAGTATTTGATACAGGTGGAAAGAAAACTTAGTGACCATGCATAATGAAGTCAGTAAAACAATCTGAGAGGCTACAGTGCATGTATTACTAATGGGAGGGATTTATGAAGTAGGCCATTGAGATGGCTTCATGTGGCATGACATATGTACCAGATTTTATGAAGATTGGTACAGGTATTCAAGCAATATTAAGGTTTTGCCTTGGCAGTCTGAGTGGCTATAATATTTGTATTACTGAGAGGAAGTATTTATGAAGTGTGCCATTGAGATGGGCTCATGTACCATGATATTCATACAAAGTTTCATGATTGATTCAGGTATTCCAAAGTTATCAAGGGGAATACAAATATAGGCACACAGACAGCAAGGTGATCTCATAAGCCTCCTTTAATTTTTGTTCAAAATAGGAAAGTAGGCTAAAAATTCCTCTACCTGCATATACACCATGTCCCAAAAGCCATTGAGATCAGAACACATGACAGGCGCTTCTGTTGTTTCAAGTTCTGAAGTCTTCTCGCATCTATCAATTAAACCATTAAACTGACAGAACTTCTTCTTCAAGAGGAGTTGTGTTTGCCCCACAGCTGCACTGATCATGTCACTTATCTCTGATGGTAGATCATACGTTGAGCTCTGAATATGAAGCCACTCCTGACACATGGACTCTAGCCTTTTTGTTTCGCTGTTCAAAACAGACCTGAAAATTAGAATCATTTACTTTAACTTTTGGCTATTCAGGAAACAAAGAAACAGTAAATGAGACTGCATATGCAAATTCATAACATCTCCCCACTCTTCAGATTGTGTTCACAAATAATAATGCAATCTCATAAGCAAATCTTCACTCGGCCAAGGACAAGAATTTCTTACACAAGAAAATATTCTCAGAAAAATTAACATTAAAATTAAAGGTTTAAGTAGCCATACCTTCTGCTCTAAACAAATGGGAAAAATCTTTAGTTACTTTGAATAATGCACATGGGTTAGATGCTGAGAAGCTATTGAACAAGTACAGTAGGAAATTTAAAAAAAAAACTGTGATAATGTAGTTCAGAATTTGACCACAAACAACAACTTGTTGAAGTTTTAATGGTCAGTGAGCCATGTGAAGATGGAGTTAGTAATCTAACATTTTGAAGACTCCCAGCATGGAGGAGTGAGGGAATAATGGGTGGATTCTGGTATTCAGTGATGTCCTGTCCCAGTAGAGATGACTGAGTGAATAGTGTGCAGATTAAGCCTTCAGTGATGTCATGTGCCAGCAAGGACACCTGGGGTAAGATTGGGTTCAGCCAGGAATCCAGTGACATCCTGTCTCACCACAGAATTCTGGGGTACCATGGGCAGAGTCTGGCAGTCAATCATCACAATCTGTGATGTTTATCTTGGATATTCTGCTATACCAGTTGTCACTGGTCCTTAATTTTAATGTTTCTCTGGCCCCTGTCTGTTTAAGCATGTCGGTGCCCAGGTACTATGAACAGCTTGGAGTGAATCCTGTTATGTCTGTTGACATTATAAAGGTATACCCAGATCTCAGTGGCAGTAGCCTGTCATTCTAGCCAGTACCATGGTGTCCTAGAAGTTCATCTGGTGCTCTGCCACTGCCAACTTATCAGGCTGAAATAGTCATATGTGCCATACATGTCCACACCTCATCGCACCATACACCATCCTGGATTTATGAGTGATGCAACCTGGGACCCATAGGACAAGGTCATCTTCCATTAGTCACAGCAAGTGAGTATTTCTTTGTTGGAAAGTGAACAGTTCCTATGTTCTACTTCACCAATGCTTCTGATCCCATCAGAGGTGGTCTGCATACATGATACAGTGGCTACCCAAGTGAGTTTGGTCTAGGGTTCAGGGCCCAATTGATGTTCACTGCACTGCAGTCAATCTGAGGGTACTCTTGGATTGCAGGACTTCTTAGGTCAAGATTGGTATCTGTGGGATTCCTGTAGATCATTAGCCTGAATCTAATAAAGAGAAAGCCCAACGGTTCACTGGGACATGCATTATTCCAACCTGATTTTATTATTATTATTATTATTATTATTGGAGGGGGTGGGTTTCCCCGTGCACCACGACTAATAGTCTATTGTATGTCCCCGTTTGATATTCTACCAGTCTCCATACCCTGCTATTAGCCCTGTTCAGCCAGCAAGGCTGGCTGCAGTACCCGATGCTTCCCCATCTACCGGAGGCATTGGAAACAACTTGGGCGCGAAACTTTTTACCTAATTTAGCTCAGAGGTCTCCTAGAGACATGAGGATCTTTTACGTGCCGTAAATCTACGACACGGGACCCACGGCTTAAAGTTCCTCCCGGAGGATTTGTTCCCTGAATTTTTCCGCCCTTAAAAATTCCACGATCTCCACTGGGTTTGAACCTGCGTACCTTGAGTCATGAGGTGGGAACGTTACTCCTGGACTACGGAGCCTGCTTTCTAACCTGATAAGTAAGAGGTGGTAAATCATTGGATAAACTTCTGGAACACTATGATAGTGGGTAGAATGACGGGACATGTGCACTCCTCAGTAACACCAATGATACTTGATATAATCTGGCAACTTCAGAGATATGGAAAGTGCTCCCCACCCCCAAAAAAAACTGAAATGAAGGACCCACAATGGAGACATATAGGAGTGTCCAGGATAAGAACTACAGATGATGAAGATTGACCACACGACTTCCCCCAGTGGTCCATACTGGGAACAGGCATCACTGAACACCTGACCCTACAAACCATTCCCTCAGTGGTATGTGCTAGGACAGCAATTCAGCAGTACAAATGTGCTGATGCATCACTCATCATATCAACCCTCGATGACTGAGACAAGCAGTCTCTGAAATGAATACTAACTCCACCTTCATGGCTGATCACTTGAAATGGCATCATCACACAGTCACCATGAAAGCTTCAAATCATAAAAAGCAAAGTGGACAAATATGATAAGATGACTGAGATTTCCATAAATCAAGTTCTTCAGCAATATACATGAAATGTTAAATGAATTACCTGAAGTACATGACCCCATGCTGCTCATTTTCTTCTGTTGCATAATTGGCACTTGAATTTAAAGCTGAAGAGCCCAACCCACCTTGCTCATTATATTGCTCAGATTCATCTGCCAACTCTGAAAATTACATGTTTCTTTGTTCAATAAAACTGGATTATGACATTTTCCCATGTACTAGCACAACTTCAATCTTTACATTACTCCACCCTTCAATGATAACACTTACTATCTGATCGCCTGCTTGAACTGCCTCTGTTTTTGGTCACAAAAGGGCTGTACTGGATTGGAAAACACTCGGTTTGAACAAGTATGTGGGACACTCCTTCAGGTTGTACATGTGGTTTTGGAGTGGCATTTCCTTCAGCAGCTCCCCCAGTAGAAGGTCCTGCACGTTCATCAGTGTCTATGTCTTCAACAGCAGGAATGTCTGCTTTTGAAATGGCACTTCCTTTCACAATGTGTGTGTTACTGCTTTCAATTACAGGTGTTTCTAACACAAAAAGAGAGAGCTTCACTCAGATGAAACACACTAAATGGCTCAGATATGTGGATGACACTTTTTGTGGTTTGGCTACATGAACAAGCAAGATTGCAGCAATTTCTTTGCTACCTCAACATCCTTTGACCTACATACGAGGGGGTACCCAAGAGAAACCGAACTTATTTTTTCTTAAACTTATTTATTCAAATTTTAAGCACAAACCTTCAATCCCCTTCAAAGTACTCTCCACTTACACTAATACACTTGTCTAGTCTTTTATTCCATTTTTCAAAACATTGTCTAAATTCATCTTTTGAGATGATTGACAGCGCCTCCGTCATTTTTTCCTTTCATGTCTCTTTTCATTCGAGGAAACAAAAAAAAGTTGCACGGGGCAAGGTCGGGTGAGTATGGAGGGTGAGNTTTTCCCCATAGCATCGTCCGTGTACGCCGTTTTTAACATTTCAAGAGTTTCTGTTCCACTTTTCCCGAGAAAAAAGCATAATTTCACCGCCGCACGCTCTTCACGAAAATCAGCCATTGCAAAAACGACTATCACACAAAACAGTTGTCACTATAAACTCTGCCGAAACTAGTCCTTACCTTCTGAAGCAACGGTAGTCGGCTTATCGACTCAGGAATATTAGCTCTATGGGCTCATAGCGGCAAAACGCGGTATTACAAAAGCTCTGCCCACAAAAAAATTAGTTCGGTTTCTTTTGGGTACCCCATCGTACTGTTCCTTTCTTGGACATCTCAGTCATGAAGTAACAAAAAATGTCCTTGTGTGTAACTAATTAAGCCAAGAAGGCATATGGAAGTGTGGATTTATAGATCCGCATTTTCTTGACCTTGGCACTAACTGGAGGCAAGTGGTCATCTTCACTCCCCTGCTGCTTTATCCCCAGGGAAAGAGCCCCCGGTACCCTTTGGATAGGAGGCTGGGTGGGCCCTAGAACTGGTCTGGACAATGTGGAGAAGAGAAAATTCTTGACCCTACCAGGACTTGAAGTCTGGCCCCTTGGGCATCCAGCCTGTAGCCAGTTGCTATATTGACTATGCTATCCTGGCTCTTGTTCGTGAAGAGTGCTCCTAAATAGGTCATGAATGTGTACCAGAAGCCTACTCATACAGGTTATCTGCATTTCAAGTCCAGCCACCCACATCACATGAAAAGAGGACTCATCATACCTTGATCAATAGAGCCAAGGTCATGTCAGGATAAGAAGGATTTAAACAAGGAATTTAAGAACATAAGACATGATCTGATACTTAATGAATATCCACAAGAATCTGTTGACTCCATAATGAAGCCATTGAGAAGCAACTCTCATTCTTCATATATAGTACACCAGGGCATGATCATTATCCCATATGTTAAGGGCATTTCCTAGAAATTCAGGCACTCTGGGGACCGTTTTAAAGTCAGGACCATTTTCAAAACTAAACATACACTCCATGGGACACTGGTGAAAACTGGCCTGGTTAGAGATGCCCAACAGATGAAACAGTGTGTGTACAATATCCCACATGATTGTGGCTGATGTCACATCAACAAAACAAGTAGACCTTTAGAAGTATGCATTAAGGGACACAAGTATAACCTGACCCAGGGTCTCCTCGAGAAATCACAATTAGCCACAAAATATGTTGGAAAGAAGCGAATTTTCAACATAGTGTGACGTGGATAACGCAACAGGAAGTAGGGGTCACTTGAACTCTGTGGTCTCACGAGTGACATCACATACCCCCACTCCCTCAATCATTACACAACGCTCAGTAAACACCCCCTCCCCGCGGTGATGTAACAGCACTTCCCACAGTGACGTAACAGAGGACACCGCGGTTACTACGCAGCAATAAACAACTCTCGGCAGCATTCCCTAGCAACGCCTGTAAACAAGGCGTTTACGCAACAGTGAAGCGATGTGGGTTTTCCGCTGTCCGACTGAGGGTTTATGAGGGAGACTGGAATGCATAAGAAGTGCTAAAATGTAGCAACCGCCAAAGACAGTTGAAGTCTAGCAGTCGCCGAGTTCAGTTGTAGCGAGTGAATTGTGAACGTGAAGAAGATGTTATAAGTCTAGCAGTCGTGGAAGGATAAGAACCGAATGCGTGATAAGAAGAGCTTATGTGTGATAATTATTGATAGTTGGTGATAACTGAGAAGGTATTGGGAGTGTGTAATTCAGTGACACTTGTATAGCTCCCGCGTTACTAATACGTGAAGACTACTAAAGAGATTACTGTGTGGGGTTGTAAAGTGTGTAAACCCGTAACAGTGTTATAAGTATTTGTAGTTACGACTTGTAGGTTTTTTAAATAAACCAATTAACAATCCAAACGGCATCTTCAGTAGCAAAACACGTTACAATATAAAATGAGGAAGAACTTAAAAGAGTAACGATGAGTTCACAGTGTTAATAAAGATTAAAAATACACTTTAAAACAATTAGTAGCTTTTCCATGACATGACACATTTTGGCCAGTTTTTAACTTTTAGGTTGTTTTCTGGATTTTTCGGTCATTTTATAGGTCACTTTTAAAATATGTTTAGGTCATCAAAATCCGGGCCCTGAACATTACATATGCACAATGCTCAATGTTTCACTGCTTTGTGTAATCTTATGGAATCCCCCACAAACACAACTCTTATAAAATACTAAAGAATCTAGTCAATACCACAAAACATGCATAACTATGTGCAATTCCAATCTTGTTTCCATACCTGTCTTGGGAATACCCCTCCTTTCTGGAATGTGTGGATTCTTACACCTACGATTTCTGCTTCCTACATTTGTGAAGTGAGGCTGGAAACAAGAAAAATATGTATTACATTCAAGTTCAGAATCAACACTACTAGCAATATCATTCAGTGAATACACTTCAGTAAGTTTCGCAAGCTGGTCCTTCCGCTATGTCCAAAAACTTTCATTCTTAGTTGTATTCATACTTCTAGCATAAAAACTGGCCTTTACCGGTTAATATGAGACCTGTACTAATATATTTAATTCTTCTTTATTCCAATGAGCTATTTTCATATTTATTATTCTACTTAAAGTCATATATAACACTTCCTTTTTAAGTTGGTTCTGAGTCCATGTATTTCACCAGTTTGTTAGAAAATAGTGTATTCTCCTGCTCTCAAGCAACCCTACAACTCTTTCAGGAATGGTCAAATATTATTTCTTCACCTTCACTTTTGTCTCTTTCAGCTGTCTGGCCTCATCTGTCAGTAACCCCTAACAAAGGACTGTGCTGTCAGCTCAAAACAACTGTTCAACATTCCTGTTGGTGATATCCTCACAATCATTTATGTCCTTAAGAGAACTACTAACTCAGACCTGGTACAGTTTCCTTGCCAGAACCAAAGTATGTATATTAGAATGTGCAAATATAGTATACTTTATTTCATGACTTCCTTACAGTAAGTGTGTTTAGCATATTGTGACATGAGTGAATAGCACAAAAGACATCCTCCATTGCTAGGTAGGGGCACAGTAAACACATTATCAAACCATAAGAATTCAGCCATTGCTACACAACAAATAAACATACAACAAGAGAAGTGATATCATTTGAAAGGCCAGTAGCCATCACAAAATAGAATATGAAGGACACTAAAGACAACCATGAAGAGATGGAAGCCACAATAAACACCAGACAAGAGCAGATAAAAGCCACAGTGCCATCCAGGAGAAGATGGAGGCCGCAATAAACTCCATCTGCTCTGAGATAGAAGAGACTTCCAATCATCAGGTGGAGAGAGAATCCTGGCAGTAGTCAACCAACAGACACAAAACCCCCATGAAGAACTTAACAAGAATATTAACGAAACATAGGTGGGCATACAAGTAGTAAAGATGTTGCTTGAGAAGAGAGATGACACATAGGAGGACTTCCACAAAAACTTCCACTCCAAGATGAAAACAACATGGTGCAAGTTCAATCCTGTATTACCTAAAGACCATGTAAGGTGGTAAGCATGCAGGGCATTCACTGATGTTGTATGAGACCCTGATATAAAAATACAGGTGCTCCCCTAGCAGCCAGATCCCAAAAAACGAGTAAGAAAACATTCTGGGGGGAGCTCCCCCCCCCCTTAACCGAGTGAAGAGACAATTGACAACCTGTGTGCTGGCACTATGGGAAGCCCGGCCACTTTCGAGGAAACTGCCCCATTAAAATAGAGGAACAAGACAACAACAGATGATGAAAACAAGATGACCAATCCTGGAGTAACAAGTGGGTGCTGGCTACATCTGAATGATGCCCGAGAAACCAATGGGAATCAACAGGGAAAGATGACCAACCTTCAGAAAATGAGCAGCTGCCAGTGAAAAATGGGGGATGCCTGCTTATATATCTAGGCCCCCACCTCACATTAAATCTTATAACCTCATAACTGAAGACAGACATATCACCCAGGGCTAGATTGGTGAAAAACCATGCTGTCATGTCCCATGACCATCGACACCAGAGTGCACATGACTGTTGCCAGGCCATATATCACCACACAATGACCCAATAGGAACCAAAGCCAATGCTACAGGCTGAAAACGGTATCAGGAGAATTTAACCTCATCCTGAAGGAAGCTGACTGACCCTTGGGCAGAGCCCCACTGAGCATATGTGTAATCATTATGAAAATCACTGACGAGTTCATCCTGTGACTGGGACAGGAAGTATCACTTTGGAGCCCCCGGGTGATTCACTGGTGTTCCCGCCTTGTGATAGCCAGTAACCAAGTGGTACAAGCGGTCGCGCCATAGCTCAAGCAGTTAGCCGCTGGCTTCCCACTGCAGCGGCCTGGGTTCGATCCCGGGTCTGGTCAAGTGGAATTTGTGATGGACAAAGTGGCACTGGGGTGGGTTTTCTCCAAGTACTTCTGTTTCCCCTGCCAATCTTCATTCCGCAAAATTCTCCTTCATCATAATGACCCGGGGCAGGCTACAATACACCAATCAGTGGCCACCATGCCGAGCGAACCCAGTTGGACTCCACCCCCGACTAAGCAAATAAAAAAAGTGGTACAGGCACAATGATGGAGTTGTGATAACCTGACTCGAGGGCCCCTATGGACCAGAAGATAGCATGATAAAACCAAGCCCAGAGGTGCGTGCTCCAGAAGAAATCCACATAGCCAGGACCCTGGTTTGAGAATGACAGGAGGTACCCAGAGTGATGGAACAGTACCTGTCAAGACCAGATACTCAAAAAATAATTCCCCTTGGTACACCGCAAACCAGTCACATTGGTGGTCCCATTTCATGTGGTACAACATTGGACACAAGACACCACCCTAGTTACAGGACATGACCACAGTGGCCAGGCCAGACTTAAGCAATGGAAATCTGAGGGTCTGAAGATCTCATCACCAAATACGAAGACGTTTTTGCAACAAAAAGCAGCAACTACAAAAAGAACAGAGCACAATGCTTCTGCAGACACCCAACTGATTCGCCAAACCCCTAGGGGAATTACTGCCCTACTAGAAAGATACGAGTCATCAAAGTTAATAGCAATAATTAAATAGGTCACAACAGTATCCTTTCAGCCATAAGCCACAAAGTAAATGTTTCCAGACACGTGATGATATAAACATTTTTAGTTTCAGTATGTGGAAGTCGTGCCCAAAGTTTGTCCACACCCTTCAGTTACACTCTGTAATATGACAAAGAGTTACCAAACATGAAAGTTGCTTAACTTTGATTTTGGTAGAGCATAAACTGAAAAAGAATGGTCCTACCTGTTCTGATTCATTGCAAGCACGCGTCTGGGATCTAGTAACCCTCCGCAAAGGGTTTATCTGGGGCTGATTTGTACTGCTGTTACCCTCTCTAGTTATTACACCTTTCCCAGCAGCAAAAATATTAATCCTGAAATCATTAACATAAGAACTAGACATAAAACATAGCTTAAAATTTGTCCCTTTGCTTAACTAATTAAGTACTATGCCATGAAAACATGCGGGTGGACTGGACATAGATCCATGTTTTCTTGACCTTGGGACTAGTTGGAGGTGAGTGGTCAGCATCACACCCCGACCACTTTACCCCCAGGGATAGAGCCAATGGTACCCATTGGATAGGAGGTTGAGGCTGAGGCTGCGTAGGCCCCAGAGCTGGTCTGGATGACGTGAAGAAGAAAAAATCTTTATCTTACTGGGACTCGAACTCTGACCCTTCAGTTGTCCTGCCTGTAACCATTCGCTTACCAACAGCGCTATCTCAGCTACAAAAACTTAGCTTATACCGTTCCTAAATCTTCAATGGTGGACTATGAAGGCAAAACATAGATATAGAAATTGGAAATATGGAACATTTCAGTCTCAATGAATCATTTGCCTTGTCAGCTTTAAATGTTTAATAAACATTAAACATAGATTTAACTGTCTTTAACTGGGTACCCAGATGGTACTGGAACGGTATATAAATGTGTCCCCTAGGGTCGTTACACATCCAAAGAGCAACAAAGAGAGACATTTTCAACCTGACCCCTCAGAATCAAATGACTTCTTGCAAGAAAGTAATCCAATGGACATAAGCATTCCTCCCAAATTCTGTTGGTTTATACCTATTAGATTCTGCAGAGCAGACATTCAAAGCTGCAAAAAAAAACTGTTTCTTGAGGGCAATTCATGTTAGAAATGTGGCATACCTTCTCTAATAATGGAAACATAAGAGTATATTTTATGCTCATTTCCAACCTAATAAAATGCCCTTTCCAATATATTCAGCACAGTTATGTTCACAAGGGCTTCACTTGTACTTTCACTATATACAGCAATAATCTTTTGACATACAGTTAGAGAAAAATAATTTTTACAACATAATTAATCTATACTAGCCTAATTTAGTAAATAACAATTTAAAAGAAATGTATTGCTTTAAGCTGTGTGAGCAATACAAGTGAAGTGACACTTCACTGTAAAATGCTTCACAAAAACCAGTTCCATTGCAGTTCCAACCTGATATCTGCTGATATCTGAATAAGTTACATACACACACTACAATAATAAAGAAGTTCTGGGAAGAAATAACTGCCTAATTTCATTCCACTGTAATTTGAATATCTGACACAAGTTGAAAGAGAGCTTTAGTATGTATGCAAAATGAAACTAATACAATTTGGGAGGTTGCATTGTTGGTATTACTGATGGGAGTGATTTATGGGTATAATATTGCGATGGTATGGTATACATACCAAGTTTCATGTAGACTGGTTCACACATTCCCGTAATATTAAGGTTATTACCACGACAGTCTGAGAGGCTGTAGTGTAGGTATTAATTATGGGAAGTATTAATGATGTATGCCATTGAGATGAACTGACTTCATAACACTTACATACCAAGTTGCATGATGATCTGTTTAGGAATTTAACTAATATTAAGGGTATTACCTCAACAGTTTGAGAGGCTGTAGTGTTGTAACTACTGATGAGAGGGATTTCTTAAGTACAAAGTTGAGATAGCCTCAGGTGGCATCACACAAGTTCTAACAGTAAAGTTCATGAACTTGCCACTGTAAGCTTGCCATGGCAGCAGTGGACGGAAACCTCAATATGGTTTGATAGCTTTCGCAATTCAGTGTTTCACAGCTGTGTCACTGAGCTATGGCACTCTCTTTCTGAGTGTGGTTTGGTGAGCCATAGAGAGAATGTCAGAGCTTGAATTAGAGCAATGAATGAACATTAAATTTCTGGCTGAAACTTGGCAAGAGTGGAAGTGAAATCAGAGAGATGTTAGTGCAAGTTTACGGGGATGCTATGAATAATGCATTTTACTGCAATGAGTTCGTGAACTTTATTGTCAGACCATGTATATATACCAAGTATCATGACAATCAATTCAGGCACTGAAGTAATATTAAGGTATTATCTAAATAATTTGAGAAGGTAAAGCATTGTTATTACTCATGAGAGGGATTTATGATGTATGCACTTGAAATGGGCTGAGATGGCAAGATATACATTCCAAGTTCCATGACAAAGCAGTTCAGTTGTTAAGCATCATTACAGTCATCATGACTGTAACTATTTAAGAGGCTGTAATGTTGTTATTAGCGATAAAAGGATTTATGGAGTATGCCACTGAGATGGCTTCATATGGCATGATGTTCACACCTAGTTTCATGAAGACTAGTATAGGCATTCAACCAATAATAAAGTTTTCCCTCAGTAATTTGAATGCTATAGTGTTGGTATTACTGATGGCAGTTAAGATTATACCACTGAAATTGGCTCAGATGAAATGATACATGGGGGAGAGGGCAAAATAATGGAAAAACTAAGAAATTGAGGAAGAGAATTTGTTGGCTGCACTGAAAGAATTTCAGTTGGCAACATTGAATGTTCTTCCTTTTCTTCACACTCTATAGTGCTTATGTCAGTGCATTAGTGATTGTGTTGAGTGACAGTCCATGTCAAAGCATCATAAAATTAGAGACTTTTCTGACTTTGAAAGAGGACAGATCATTGGTGTGCGTTTAACCAGAGCATCTGTGTCACAAACTGTCACATTACTAGGTGTATCAAGAGTGACAGTTCTAAGGTTATGTTAGCATACATCAGGCACGTCCAACTTCAAACAGGTTGTGATCGACTTTTTAGTGTCAAAACTGCCAGTGATCTACCATCCTCTCCTATCATCATACCTCGCTTTAAGCAAAAATATTGGTAAAAATAACACAACACATCATGTCTGCTGTAAAAGCAACATACATTGAAAGTACAGAAAAACAGGAACTAATATGTATTTTCCCTTTAATATGTGAATATAATCATATTATATTACAAGTGAATTTACATGCTTTTCACGTATGATTTCCTTATAGGTCTATGAGACTGACCAAAAATCGTCCCACGATTCACGCGTGGGTCATGCCTGGCATACATGAATCATGGGAACACTGAGAAGGATTCATCTTGAAGACCCTGTTTCCACAAAAACTGTCCATCACGAGATTCACAAATCCAACATCCATGGTACAGCTGCTACTTCTAAACTTCTGATTGCTGAAAGTAGTGCTCAAATACCCAAATGGAAATGCCCCATTGATATGGTCAGATAAGACATTCTTCACACTGTTCCCTACATCAGGAAGTTTACATTTCAAGAACACATAAGGAAGCCTAATTTGAAATGTCTGACTCCAACAGTGAAGGATGGGGGAGGTTCTGTGATGGTTTGGGCAGCAATATCACGGTATTCTGTTGGTTTCATTACTACCATTCATGGCCGAATTACTGCAAGGGAGCATGTGGACAGGTTGGGTAATCAGGTGCATCCCATGATCCAGATGTTACTTCTGAACATCAATGTCCCCAGATACACAGCTGGAACTCTTCAGACATGGTTTGAAGAGCATGAAGGTGAACTTCATCATCTTCCCTGGCCAGCACAGGCATCAGATTTGAACATCACTGAATCATTGTGGCCAGTTTCGGAGACTAGAGCAAGGAACAAATTCCCACCTCCAACACCTCTAAAGTAACCTGAAGATGTTCTTAAAGGAGAATGGTATAAAATTCCTCTATAGATTGTTCAAAACTTGTACGAGTCCATTCCAAGAATGATTGGGGCTGTATTGAAGGCAGAAGCTGGTTCAACATTATATTACTAAAGAATTGTGTATAATATCCAAATTTGTCCAATGCCTATAAGTACCAAGTTCCAGGACAATCAATTAAAGCATTTACCTAACATTATGGTTATTACCAAAAGAGTTTAATATGCTGTAATGATGGTATTACAGATTAAAGAAATTTATGAAGTGTAGCATTGAAATAGGCTCAAGTAGCATGATAAACGCACAAAATTTCATGAAGATTGGTACAGGCATTCAAGCAGTATTAATGCTTTTTTTTTTCAAAAATTTGAGAGGCTGTAATATCAGTATTACTTATGAGGGATTTATGAATTATGTGATGAAATGGGCTCAGGTGACATGATATACAACCCAGTTTCATAAAGATTTGTTTAGCCATTCAAAAGATAATAGGGGTATACACATACAGACACGTAGCCAGCAAGGTGATCTGAGAAGGCCAATTTTATTTTTTTCAAAAGAGGGGAAGTATGCTAAAAAAATTAAACTACCTCAATATGAAAAATATAAGGTAAAAGCCACATTTGAAGACCTCAAAAATATAACTGTGGTGAATATACTGGTGTAATATGTCACTGGAAAGGGCAATTCAGATGTCTGCCCTCCAAAATCTCATGGCCATATAGCAATTAAATTTGGCAGGAATACGTACCTCCACTGGGACCATATCACAATAATTCATTCGATTTGAAGGGGCTGCATTTCAACGTGTCTGACATAGAATGACTGTACAGAGATGTCAACACCTTAAGATGTCCATAAAAGCCAATGTTACTGCTGATGAGACATCTGTTCATGGGCTCAGGCAGCAGAGTTTAATCCCCAGAATCTATACATACACTTCTACCTTTCAGCCTACACACACACACACACACACACAAAAAGTTTTCTGCCAATTGTGCTAGAATTTACAGTGTTTAAGAAATACTGTATGAAATTATATAAGAATTTGATTCCATACCTGGGTCCTTCTTCAGTCAATGCCACTGGTTTGATTTTAGGTGGCTGAAATCATAAAACATTAACAATTTAATGGTAATGATGGATCTACATTTGTTTAAATTATTCAATTTTTCAGTTTAATGGTAATGATGGATCTACAACATTCCTTTCAACTGTTCAATTTTTCATCTGAGGCAAAGCATTCTTGGTGTAAGGCAAGAGAATTCTGTCAGTACCTGCAATGGGGTGGTATTCAAAATGGATGAGATCTAAATTTAATGAGAGTGGTAAACTAAGTAAACAAAATGAAACTAGAAACCTATACATGGCAGTTAAAAAAATAAACAAAGGATATCAGCCACAGACGACTGGATGCCAAGATAAAGATGGAATTACAGTGGCAAACCCAACAGCAGTCAAAACAAGGTGGACAGAATATTTCCAAGAACAGCTGGGTAAAAAGGAGGAGGACGATAATGAAGATGAAGAGCTTAAAGCCTATGAAAGGATAAAAGATGTTGAAAGCAGAACATACAGTAATAGTGATGAACTTGTGAAGGTACCAACATCAGAAGAAATAGACCAGATAATTAAGAAACAGGAAACGAAATAGATACCCTGGGGAAGATAATATAACACCAGAAATGCTTATCCATGCTGGTTTAAAACTTAAAGAAGAATCACACTTACTTACTTACTTACTCATGGAGCTGAGCCCTTCTGGAGGAGCTGCCAATTCTGCAGCTACTCGAGAATTTCCCAGCATTTTATGAAACCCGAAGGTTCATCACCGTGTTCACAAGAGCCCTCCACTGGTCCATATCCTGAGCCAGATCTATCCAATCCATACCATCCCATCCTATCTCTCTAAGATCCATTCTAATATTGGCCACCCACCTACGCCTTGGTCTTCCCTGT